CTTCTACAGTTCAATTTCAGGCATGAGGCAGCATCAAAAAAATTTGCAGGACCATGTCACCACACACTCTCAATATACAAACAGCAAACAAGTAACTAAATGGAGAGCAACAAATTTCATCATTTCCTTAGAGTACACAAATATACACAACTCAAAGCACATACCCATTAAGTCAACCACCTCTGCCACCTTTCCACTGTAACAACATGTGTACAACACACAGTAGGCCACCAACTTGTTTTACAGGATTTAGCTTCAACCACCACTTAACACACCTCTGAACAAGCAACAGAGAAGGGCTGGAGAGACAAGCAACTGTTTCCCCCATGCTACAATACACCTGCATGTTCTACTGCCCTTCCCCATCCTCCCTGACACTACTATTTCTGAATGCATGCACTGGGCAAGAATGACTTTTCCATACAAACTGTTTACACTGGTTCAAATAGAAAACCCTCACTCTTTCTCACAGTGCAAGCACACAAGCACCTTCTGTGAGGAGCAGGAGATGCCTCTGCATGTTAAGCACCAATGTAAAGAAGCACCTCGGCATTTCGTATCCAGAAATCTGGAGCACTGACACCACAGCAATGATGGCAGGTACTGATGCCAACTTTTAATTTCAAGTTGTGTGCACTTATCTGTGCTGCACCCCTTTAGAAGGCTTCCATGCCCACCATGTAATGCTGCTGGGTTTTGAGCAGTTGTTTTTCTCCACAGCTGTAAAATGATTACTCACTTGAAAGCAAGCAAAAATTACACACCTTTTGAGATGGGTCAAACAAGCACCTTAGCCTCAAACACAGGAAAGGAATTGTGACAAACAGTGCATTTAAGAAGGAACATTAGAGATTCGTAATTATATATGACGAGACAGAAGGAGTCCTTTCTTCCAGTAACTGCCATTTGCTTAGTTTTAAGAAGATAATAGAAGTGGCATAATAAAACAAGATGCCTAAAAATTAAACCAAACCCTTTTTTTTTAACTCAGATGTATAGAATGGTAAAGAAAAAATCATTTAAATTAGTAATACAAGTAATATTTAAATAGATTTACTAGTGCTGCTCCAAACCAATGAATTATGAGTTTAAAACCTATTAAAATGTAAGGTTTTTTTCCTGAGCTGAGGGGAGAGAGATTTGAATTCACTGAATTTTAATATTTCAGCTTGAGCTGCAGGAGGTAGAGAAAGTCCAAATGAACTATTCCATCAGCACCATTCAAGCATGAACATTTTAATCAGTTTTACTTCCTTGGAGTTCTCCAACACAGTTTACGCTGTCATTCTGAAAGCACTTAACACAGAGGGTGTGAAAAACCACCAAGGCTTGTTATTGCCTTCACAATTGATGGCAAATAATTTTGCAGACTTCCTATCATTAAAATGTCACAGCTAAAAATTGAGGTTCAGCATTTCTTGTGCTAAACTGCATTTTCTTTGAACACTATCACATACCTGTTCTTAAGTTTTTGGTACATTTATCTCTTTCCGTGTGATAAACAGGCACATAAGCAGTAGCCTTCATTTCTGCCTTACTACCCAACTGCAGCTGAAAACTTACTATTTTAAATAGATGAAAAAAACAATACTCTGATAAAATTTTCATAAAGTTACAAGTTAATTCCTTGGTTCCCTTATTAAAATATAACCACACTAACACAGCATGTTCTGATTACTTAGCATAATGATTAAAAATACCAAACCCCAACATGTTAAGAAAGATAGACGACTCAATTTTTTAATACAGGAAATGAAAACATCATTCCTACTTAGATCATATTACTGATTTAAGGCTGCGATTCGTGTATTGTTCCAACAGTGTGATCTTGCAGATTCTAATGTAAAGCTGCAGAGGCTGTGACACATGACAAGATCAACTGGATACACCACACTGCTCATCCTGACACACCCAACCGAGAAAGTAGCTCTGGATGTGCACTAAAAATTGCACTAAGCAAGAATGCTGTACCACACCATCCACTGCAAACACCAGATGCAGAGACTGGATGCCTGCAGATTTACAGTCCTCCTGCAGCATGCTTATGGTACACCTAGTTTTGGTTTAATTTTTCTCACTGCATCTCTCCAGAAGATGATAGATGATATTTAACTTGTCTCAGCCCGTCAACAGTTTTAAACTGAACATGACCTGTGAAAGAAGTCATTATAACTGTGTTTCATTCCATTAAACATAACTAGTTTATTGTCAGGAGAACAAGCAGCCTCTCTGGGTTCCGGGCTCACTTCAGTATTTTGCATTTAAACTGCATGGATCAGTGATTTGGTTCATTTACCAATGAAGATAGAATAATATTGCAAAGTTAAAAGGTGCTTCATCAGATTCCATTAAATCAGAGCACATTCACACAAAAATATATACATGTGAAACACCAGAGAGACATGATTTGTGCACATTCAATTCTTTTCTTATGCCATACTCCATTCTGGTAGGATCCATTTTAAATTCAAACCCAGGGTTCCTCTGTTCAAGCCACAGGGGTTTTAGCATAAGTGAGGTGAACTGAATAGGGCCCCCCTAAGCACAGAGAAACTTAAGCTACATTTGTATTTCAAAAACTCAAATACTGCTTCTGTCTTTGTCTGATTCACAGTTCAGTGGGTTAAACAAATTTCAGAAGTTTTTAAATACCACAGGTTTAAAAGAACAAAAATCCTGTCAGACTTCCCAAACAGCAAAATAATATAAGACAACATAATCATATATATATATAAAGCTATGATTTCTAATTACATTGTTTTATTTTTATGGGTATTCACTTTACAAAGTACGACAAGCCTTTTTTAGTCCCCTGCTACATTTTCAGACTTTAAATCTCTGAGTGCAGACACAACATTATTGTGGGTATTCAGGCAACAAGAACTTCAGCTTTATTTGATAACTTGTGTTCCTATTTCTTCCATTTTTTTAAAATGAATCTCATAAAAACTGCATTAGATTACTTCTCTTCAAACCAGACGAACACAAAATTTTCAGTCTGTTTCTCTAAAACCGAAGAGAGGGCCACACAGCATTCTCTAAGTCAACACAGAACAGCAGAGTGAAAGAGTCACAGAGCAAGGTAAAAACCAGTCTTGTGATGGAGGCAAGGTCTGTCCAATTTTAATGCACAAACCAAAAATTCTGACCACTTAAAACTTTCAGACAATAGAATTTCAATTGACATGAAGAGGCAAATTCAGACAGCAACAAACAAAACAGAAAATTTACTTCCGTCTGGTGAGGGGAATACTGTCAGAAGTTACTGCCAGACAAGTGTCGTGTCTGTATTTATTCTGTGTGGCTTAGTAGTTCATGAAAGCAAGACAACCTTAAATAAGGGGTGCAATAGCCAGTATCTGTATCATCAAACATTTTTCATTTGCTTTCTTTGCCAGAAAGCAAATCGCTTTTTGCAGTCTCTCTAATACATACAAAGGTGAATGGCAACAACGTGTACAAGTAGACTGTGAAATATTCATATACATGTGTGTGCACATACACAGAAAACCATACATGCATGTGTACACATATACTATATATGCACATGTAGCACACACATATCAAAAAGTTCTTTAACAAAGAAGCCAACCTTTAGCTACTTACTTTATGCAAAGAATGTTAACAGAAGGCAATATTTTTGGTTAGGTAATGAAAACTAATTGGGAAATTATTCATTTCCCACTCTCCCCACT